TTAAACAAAATTATCTTTGAGACCGCCTTCTACCGCATAGCTCCCAGCAACCGGTAAGATCCCACAGAGCTGGTCTCCTCTGGGTCCCGTCAGCTAAACAATGTTGGTTGGCAGGCCTGTGGGGGAGGGCCTTCTCTGTGGCTGCCCCGGCTCTCTGGAACCAATTACCTCCTGACGTCCGGACCGCCCTCACCCTATTGGCCTTCCAGAAAGCGGTGAAGACCTGGCTTTTCTGGCAGGCCTGGGGCCATTGATCTCGCTACAGCAATCTTGTGAGATCTGGCCATGGAATGGAGTGTATGGGTTTTTAATGTTTTCTTTTAAAAAAATTTTATGGGATATTGTTCGCATTGTTTTTTTGCTGTAAGCCGCCCAGAGTCCCTAGAGAGTTGGGAGACATAGAAATGCGACTAATAAATAAATAAATAAATAAATAAATAAATAAATAAATAAATTTTGGCCACTACTGTATAAATAAGAAATCTGCCTCTGACCATTTCTCTCCCCGTCCTCTCTTCCTGAGTCATTATTCCAATCAAACAGACAAGCCAGTGTTTGAACTGAAGAGTGACTTGCTTCTTCTGCCATAAGAATTGTTGTGAATGACTTTGTTCAATTTCAAGCCTATTGCTCTGGATTGTGAGTTATACCAGTAATTTCAGAGCCACAGAAGTGACCTTGGTTCTCTTTCAGAGCAATCTGTTGTTGTATAAAACAGATGCTGCTCAACTTTAGAATTCTGAAACAATGACAAAAGGAATCCCTTTAGAATCAAATAAATTAAGAAAAAGTATGCTCTGCAATTACTATACATAGTGTGTCCAATTGTGTTTGAACAGTGCCATATGGGAAGCCTCAGACTAGATTTCCTTAAAAAGCTTCCTTGTGAAGCAACTATTAGCCCTAAAGACCACAGCAGAATAAGACAAGGTGTTAATGGGGATAGAATACACTCTCACAACTTTGAACACAAATTTGCATTTTGTTGGCCAGGTAGAAAACAAACATGTCCCAAAACCTTCTCAATATATTTTTTTTTAATTTGATTTATATGCCGCCCTTCTCCGGAGACTCAGGGCGGCTTACAATGCGTTAAGCAATAGCCTTAATTCTTTTGTATATTTTATACAAAGTCAGCTTATTGCCCCCACAAACTGGGTTCTCATTTCACCTACCTTAGAAAGGATGGAAGGCTGAGTCAACCTTGAGCCTTGGAGAGATTCGAACCAGCAGAAATTGCAGGCAGCTGTGTTAATAACAGGGTGCACTAAACCACTGTACTATCAAGGCTCTTTTTCCCCTCTCCAATGTCTTCATAAGCATGTGGTTATTACAAATTCACATTGTCTTTTTCAAACTTTTGCAGAAGTAAAGGCAATTATTTGATCTTTAACAATCGAATGGGTTTTCAACAGGTTTTCTTATTTATTCTTCCCAAATTTTTACTTGGGAAGTACTGAAGTTGCACTGCTTAGTGGCCTACAGCTGATTTGTGAAAGGTGAAAGGGCAGCTAAAGAAAACAGTGACAGTGCCACAGCTATGATTGTATTCATCCAGGAGGTTCTAGAGCAAACCACTTGCATTGCAGAACGTAGTGTGATGTATCGTGAAGTTTTTTGCCTTTGCGGAGCTGGGTGGCTGTGGCCTATGAAGGCTGTATCCAGCCCCCTGGCCACCAGTTTTACAGGTCTGGTCCACAGGGTATGCTAAAAAAGGTCAAGTTGGCAGTTGCAAAGGCGCAATTGAAGGACTGCATTATTTAAAAAATATGTGGTGCCGAGATGGATAGGTTGACTATGGAATTGAAAGAGATAGAAGAATCAGAGTACTATCAAATTTGGAATAGATGATATACCTGGCTGGAAAATAGGTGTAAAAATACTGTATAAGAATTATATAATACTGATAATATTGATATGACTATATTGTATATGAGTATAAATATTATTATAATTCAAATAAGTATAATATAGAGTACAGTGAACAATAGAAATAGAACCTATGTAAATATAAATGTTATGGATGATATGGATGATATTGATACCGATATGGAAATACTGTAATGAGTGAAAATTTGTGTTTTGTTTTTTAATGTTGAAAATGTTGAATAAAAATTTATTAAAATAAAATAAAATAAAAGACATGTGGTGCATGTATAAAGCTTTGGTCCCATTATTGCAGCTGCTATCTTCACTTTTTTCACAACATCTTGTTGACACCCTGACTGTATCTGAGGGTAGACTTGGCAGCCTAACTTTTTTTAGACAGCAGCCTAAAAAAAAAAAAATCTCCTGAACTTTTCACTTTCCCAGATGTCCATTGTCTAGGGCTTAGACAAAATATGTTTTGGATGCAGTGATTCTGCTTGAAAGAAGATGTGTCTGCTTTAAGGAGTCAATTTATGAAAGTTATTTGACTCTTATGGCATTTGAACATTTTTTCTAGGCTCCTGCAGGAACCTGAAGACAGAGAAGCTGTTTTAATGAATAGTAGTAAGGTGGTATGCTTATATTAGATCTAAAGCACATCTACTCCCAGAATCCCACAGCCATCCATAAAGTCCACCATGTTGAAGTCTACTCATTTTAAAGTTGCTGAGGTTGAGAAACACTGTCTTAAACAGCAATTACTCTTATAATATTCCCTCCTATTCCTCAAAACAGATGATATTCAATGGTATAATATCATTGTCCTGGATACCGAAGGTGGATTATACATATAACTACTGGCCCTAGTTATCCCTTTAATCTCTATGAATTTATTGAATTCCCTTTTAAAACTGTCCATTGTGGTTGCCCTGATTTGCAACTGTTAATTAAACCATTTCACGAGATATTGGATGAAGGTGATCTGCAAAAAGGCATTTCATATTTCACATGATTTACTTTCAGTTCAGATAAAATGAGAGGAGAACATCGTTCAGGTTTGTCTGCCAAGCTTTTTCAAAAGTGGAAAAGACTAGTTTTCAGTCTTTGGCAAGGGAAGATCATGTCTCTCCTATCCCCCAAGACACGCCTGGTTGGTTTCTTTGTAATTTACAAGCAAATATGTTACACTGCAGCCCCCTGTGACATGAGGCATGCTAGTCTACAGTTTCCACTGTATTAATGACAGTAGCTGGAATGTTTCTGATATATTTTATTGGTCTAACATAAAAGGGAATTTCCACAAACAATTGAGAAGCCTGGATTCCCTGTTGCTCCAGGTGTGAAATATGAATGTAAAGCATATGATCTTTACAGACACAGCAAGGCAGCTACATAATGTCTTCCTTTGTTGCAAAGCAAGCTAAAATTATTATATCTTGAAAATCTGCCATCTTTATGATCTTAATCAAACCAACAGATGTTAATCAGCTGCCAGCGCTTTGTTCACTCATTGTGTTATGTTTGGCTTCTGCAGTAAAGGATTTAAAGGGGAAATCTGAATACAGATGTCTTTAGCTTAAAATCCTCACACCAGATGATGACCTAAATATGGGTGGCTGCTGTTGATTTTTACAAATCTTTCACGACAGAATTTATTTTATTAAATATATTTGCATGCCATTGCATCCAAAAATGACTGTTGGTGGTTCCCATAAAAATACAATGTAAAATAATCCTCATACAAAAATAAAAACACAACACTAACAATACAGAATGTATGCATAAATTAATAATGGCAATAATAAACCAGCTTTGCTTCTGCTGTGCTCTTCACTGACACCAACCACACTGTGGCTGGTGTGTTGTTGTCCCCATAATCCAGTTAAACACAAAGCTCACTTTCTTCAAATGTTGTCCCATTTTCAGTTGTGCAAATACTTCTAATATAAATTTGAAGAGTCTTTGAGAGATGCTGGTTATCAAACCAATAAAATTAAGATCATGGGCATGATTGGGGTTTCCATTAATTTAACAGCTTTGTTTATTAAAAAAGCAAAATGTCAAGAGTCTATGGAGATTTTTCAGTCATCCAGGTCACGGTTGTCCCAAAGTGCTTTTTCAAAAGACAACTGGACTTTCTATATTTTTCCTTAAAGATATTGTCTTCAAGTTCTGAAGAAGCTTCTTGGATGAGAAGTGAAACATCTTCAAGGAAAAACAAAGAAAAGTCCAGTTGCCTTTTGAAAAAGCACCTTTGGGACAAAATGTCAAGTAAAGACTGCTATCAATTAATAATCAAGACAATTATGGAAAAAAGTGTTCCATGCAGATGTAATATTAGGAAGGCATTCTCAGGAATAATGTTGATATTCAATGCTAACTCTAGTACAAGCTGATTTCCTTCTCCAAGTGCATAGGTTCTGCTGATGCTGATGGCTACTGATCCATCCATTGCCCATTCTTTTGCCAATCTCTGTAGACCCAATTTGTGCATAAAATATACAACTATAATTTATTTCTTTATTCATATTGCCATTCCATTTATAACATTTATTCATAACTTCTTGATAAGGCATAGAGAAAAATACTTGTAATGAGATACATGCCAGATCATAAAACTGTACCACTGCAGGCTATAGGAGCAAAAGTGAAAAAACAGCAGGGCCAGAAAGCCTCAGGACAAATGGTTGACCATTAGACATTTTTTTTTTAAAAAAAGAAAAGTACAAGGAAAAATAAAAAGCTCAGAGAAATAATTTCTCCATGTTTGACTCAACAACCATTTTTTTTTACAAGGCAGGTGGTAATTATTACATCTAAATGACATTCCATTTTTTAAGAAGTTCTTGTGACAGTATGTACAATTTTTATGCTTTAATTTTGTATATATAAATTTATGTAAGTGTGCGTGGGAAGACCTCTAGAGGACTGGGCCGATAAGAAAATTTGTTAGGCTACTTTGCAGACTGAATATTTTGTAAGCTGTTGTTTAAGTGTCTCAATCCAGGCAGAATTTTCTTAAACTGGTTTAGATTCAAGCTGACATGAGCACAGGACAGGAACAGCTTAAATGGTAAGTGTGAATATGACCTTAATTTGCACACTTGGTTTATGAGGTTTGAAGTGTTTCAAAACTAAGGTCCAGGATTTTTTGTACTATATGCCAAACTTTGCAGCCAAAAGGAAAACATGAATTCTATGCATTCGGTATAAATTATGTATTCTCTGCAGTAGTTCTTAATATACTTAACCCTCTAATTCAATCCTGATGCACAGCCTTAGTTTTGGAAAAAGTAGGGAAATAATTTTTTCCCCAGTTCTGGAACACTGGATATGCAGGGCAAAACGAGATTAAGGAGAAATAGGCAGTTGTTTGATATACCCACCCAGACATTGTTGCCCAGGCGCACATTTTCAAATTTTATGACAATAAATTTACAATAAAATATACCTCACTTTATGCACTAGTTCTGAAGAAACCTACGAAACAAGCAGTTTTGTAATGAAACAAAAACCTGTATTTTAAGAGATCTCTTACTTGTAAATTAGTTGTTTCAGTTATGGTGCTGGAGAAGACTCCTGCGTATTCCTTGGACAGCAGAGGTGACTAAGAACCAAGTACTGGAGTGCATAATACCAGACATGTCCCTGGAAGGCAAAATCACAAAACTGTGTCTCACTTACTTTGGCCATGTTATGCATGGGGAAATTCACTAGAGACAGCAATTATGTTTGGAAGAGTTAGCGGTAAAAAGAAAGCAGGCTATCAAAGAAGATGGTGGCTGGGCACCCTCAAAGCTGACAAGAGCCAGAGCATATGGGGGAAAAAATCAAATAAATAATGCGAGATCAGAAGTTGTAGAAAGACCTGGCCCTTAGAATCACAAGAGTCAGACTTGAGTGAATGGATATCATCATCATCATCATCATCATCATCATCATCATCATCATCATCACCACATGTAATTTCCTAGGACTCACCTTTGAAGTGAGTTGGGCTGAACTGGCACCCAGGTCACTCAACTGGCTTTAATGTGTAAGGGAGGATTAGACCTCACAGTCTCCTGGCTTCTAGATCAACATTTTTAACTACTACACCACACTGGCTCTTCACACTTTTTGAAGAATGAAATTTTGATAGCTATTCATTCTTCAAGGAATGAATGGTTTTCATGATTCATTTCCTAAACTTATTTTCAATTAATTTTTATAATGATATATAATTTCAACAATTTCAAAACATAATGAACAATTGCTCTGATTACAAAGAAAAATGAATAAATAAAAGTCTCTTTTTCAAGTATAAATAAGTAAGTACAATTTAGGAATTCTAGAATCATAGCATAAAGTATCAATAGTTGCTTTAAATGCCCTTTAAAGGCAGCAGAAAGCTACTACTAAAAGGTACAGTAGCTGATGAATCACATCCTCCTCCCCACATGCACATCTAACGGGCAATGAAAACTAAGTTCCCACATCGGAGTTGAAATATGAATCAATCACCTGGCCTGCTACACTTGGAAGGCAAATACCACCATTATCCTTCTCAGGAGCCAAAATATGTCTGGCCAGGGTATTCCACTCACAATTTGGAAAATTTCCTCAGTCATTGCTTGAGGGGCCATCTTTTTTATTCATATGAAAATAACGTTCTTCCTTTTTCCCTTAGCAAATAGTACTCCCCAGTTTTTCAGTACTGTTTACTTTTAAGTAAGTGCGACTCTGCTAATGATCTTGAACACTTTCTGGGAGAACTAAATCAGAAAGAGAAAATTCAGCAAGAAAACTGTAGAAATAGAAATACTGGTATTTCATATAAACTCAAGGTGATAACACAAGTCTTATGACATTTCTTAAGAGCAACAGTTTGTCCTTCCAAAACAAAAAACAAAACAAAACAAAAAAACACCCCAACAACAACAACAAAAACCAAAATTGGGAGGAGGTGTATTTCAGATGTTGGCAGAACCACTTGCCTTTTTACCTTCTTGATTTTCATATTTATGCTTTGGCAGCATAGGGCTAAAAGAATGAGCAACAGATGTCTTTTTCAATCTGCAAAGCATATAATGTGCTGTCATCTCCTTTTGATTCATATTCCTAGAAAAAAAAGCCAACCAATAGAGTATGGATACCACACCGACACAAGCATATATGTACATAGATCGGTTTATGCCCATGTAATTGGGCCCACATGTAAACTGTAGGGAAGACTACCGTCTAAGTGTCTGGATTCAATCACATGTTTAATTGCTACAACTCTTTTCTTTTTGTCAGCATGAATGACTGGTAGCTATTATGTCAAAATATTGAGACTGTACATGAAGAATAGTCACACTAAAGAAGTCTCTGTGTATGATCACTATGATCAAAGACCTACAGCACAATTGGCCTGACGTGTACAAAATATAATTTGTATAGATATAACCAGAAATAGATTTGGAACTTTAGGGCTTCTTATGTTTTTTATATTCCCTTCCCCTTCCCATCCTTTAGAAGAACTAAATCTATAGTATTCAAACTGGCCTTCATTCAGAATTCCAAGTGGATCTATATTTCCAGATCAGAAAAATCCATGGAATGGATTAAACCTTTGGAATTAATTAGAAAGATTCCAAGATCATCAGAGAGGCAGTAATAGAACTGACCTGGGAGATATTCTACAGCTCTGCAGTGGTTCCTGGTTCATTTTAGAATCTTCTCCTGTACCAAAAGGGAATTGCAGGTTTCTGGACCATAGATTCCTGAAGTAGCAGGTCATGAAGCCCGCAAGCAAAAGAAGGTGTGCCAATAGTTCAAAGCAGCAATGGTATTTATAAGCAGAGGTTTCCTTGTGAATAAGTCTCAAAAGTACCTTAAACATTTTGCAGCTGGAACTAGACAGAGGTCGAGAGATCAAACTTAAAAAAATCCCAGTTAAATTCTGGTGGTTGATATGGTTTAATAATTTCTTTATTAACCAATTCTGGAACTTGAAGTCCACACATCTTAAAATTGCCAAGCTTAGAAACTGGTATATGTTATTATTTCTCTATCCAGGATCTTTAGAGAAAGCCCCGTAAGCCATTTTTCAGAGCTATATTATTACTAATTTTGTAACAAAGTATAAGGATTATAGTATCTTTTAGTAATTTATTATGCTTTTGCCAAAAATGTTTAAAATAATGGGAACTGGTACAGGTTAAGATTTTATAATGTGGAATCCTTGTGCTCTCTGAGCTTTTCTTGCAGACTAGGTAACACGATCAGATTTTATAACATCTGAAATAACCCTTTTCTTTTTAATGGTTTTCAGTTTATTGCATGGCCACTGCACATGAAGGCAACATGAATCATGTATTGCTGTCTGTCCATCAAAATAATAAAATCCCCACTATACTAATAAAATTAATACAGTATGTGAATCCTTCTTTGATGAATTTATTTCCTTAGATTTCTGCACAGTTAATTTAATGTTGCTGGGCAAATCCATATAAATATTCCTGAATTCATATGTTAAAAAAAAAACTCCTTTGAAGAAAAAATATAAATATTAATTCTGACTCCTTATCTTTGGGTTTAATTCTGCATAGAAAGATTTGTCCTACTGATCTCTCTTTCAACTGTAGGTAGGAAGGAGAAAGAATGTTATAAAAGAAACTGATAGAAAGCAGAAGTTCTTCAACCTGATCATATACCAGCTTCATTTGTCTCTTATTGTCTGTTACTAAATTTTGTTATCTGCAATGAAAACTGAACTCATATGAATAAAATCCATGTCAGTCTCTGTTTGCATTGAAATACAAAATAGCTGAAATCTTGAGCAAAATACCCAAAGTCTCTCCAGATAGATTTAGACTGTTTAGCATGCTATCAACACTACAAATAATGTGTAATGGAAATGTTATTTTCATAATCAGCATACTTTCCTAACAATTAGGTCAGTGCTATTTTTGAAATTATCTATTATAGATTAGGATCCAGTCCTAATCTACATATATTGTCAATTTATTTGACAAGTCTCAGTGTTTGTAACCTTGATAAACATTAGATGGTATGTGAATAATGTATGAATTCTTGCCAGTCCTTTAGAGTGGTATTCCTGTGTTTTAGTGACAAAAGATTGTCTCCTCATAGACTGATGACTGAGGCCTTCCAACAGGCACCATTCACATTGCTCTAAGGCACCACTAACTACTATCAGAAGGCCAAAATACTATTTCTGCACTTTTTTTCTAGTTAGCAATTGAAAACACCTGGTATGCAGCTGAGACAGCAAACCAGATCCTCTCTGAAGCAACTGAATGCTTTACAGAAATTAAAGGCTAATTTTTATTCAGGAACCTTCATTCATCTTCCACAAGGATAACTTCTGGCATAGTGTCAGCAGTGGAAACAAGGGTTTCTATCTGCATGTCTTTTCAGTGATTCTTACCTAGTTCTGTAAATGTGAATGCAAAGCCGTCACAAATCCAAAGATTTATCTGTGTTATAAAGTTCCCTCAAATAAATAGCAGGAGAGAAAGAAGCAGCTAAGTTTTTAGTTTATGGCCAAAGTGTAATATCCCTTCAAGTATACTGATTTCCCTCTATCAGACAGAGGTGCTTTGTATACACTCCCACATACTGATCAGTTCTTTTGAAGAGTTTTCATTTATCCTCGCTTCAGGTTATGGATGTCTCCAGTTATGCTATCAGGTCTATCAAGAAGACAGCCACTGAATAAGACCACAGTATTATGTTTTCTAACCTGGTGATAGATCTTGACAAACACCTAAGGTCTTTTTTTCTGGATTACATATAAATGTTGATATAAACATCACACAATCCCAGAGGAAAAATTTGGAAAAACTAGCTCCGAGAGTGGCACTCTCCAAATCTTTGATGTTGGCAATAGTATACACATTTGTTCTACTTTGTAGTAAGCAGTGAAATGAAGGAATGTAGAGTGACATACCAAGGAAGACAAAACATGCCAATGGGGTTAGCTCAATTAGTGTATTTTAACATTCTGTCCTGATTAAAGCTTAATTGGCTAAAATGCTGATTCTACAGACTCCTTGTCTGCAATGAATACAAATATTTAAAGTGCACTACTCTTGAAAAGAGATTCTGTGCACCCTTAGCAGCATTAATATAGAACTTAAAAAAGAACTGCATAACAACACAGTGTTCTCACATTGCAAAAATAGAACTGTAGCCAATCTGAGGTTATCTTTACCAGAAGGTATGCAAGCTTCTTTGTCTTGAATGTCTTTATTTAGATTTTTTATGCCCTACACCTTGAAAGCTTGGGGTTGCTTATAGTATTTCCCATATCACTAAATACAGATCTATCAGAATAAAATTCTGAGAAGTCATTACTACTTTCCCAACCTCTCCCAATATCCTGTCTCTATTGTCCTCTTTAATATTAAAAACATTATTTTTCCTCTAAACCTTTGATGTCTTTTTTTTAGGACACCCCTGTCCTCTTGTCCTCTACTTTCATGAGCCCAGAAGGAATAGTTTTTTCCCAACAATAATGCCCCTTTTCAGGAGCCTCCTGTCACTATTGTCCTCTTTAATATTAAAAACATCTTTTTCACACTCTTGCTCTTTTGCATTTCACATCTGGGGTTCTCTTCTGATGCAATGTCTCCACTGGCCTTATGTTACCCAGTCTTATTGGGAGGGACAAATAACTATTAGAAGTATGAAGCTGAAGGATGCACTATAGAATCCTAGGTACCCTCCAAGTTTGGTTGCTTGTGGATATTTCATTACCCCACTAGATGACATCATCAGCATCTGATGACAACACTGATGGTGTTACCTAGCTGGGTAATGAAATGTCTGCAAGGAAACGACTACGTTCAGAGAGAAACAGGGATTCCAAAGGCATAGGATGTATTCAAAAATATAATTTTTTAACTTTTTGAAATATGAAGTTATTTCATGAATGATTTATTCAAAGTTCTAAATTGGCTTATACTATTTTGGTTCAAGTGCTGTCTTGCACATAGGGATGTTTCCCACGGCAGCCATAAACTGCTTGTGCCTGTATTGAACTCAGTAGGAAATAAAACTTAAGAAAATGTAGTCTGCATTTTAATACATTCTTCAGTTTAATAAGAATGCTAGCCAGGTATCCTGTTCAGAAGTGATTACATAAAGCCTGATGGATGGATTGCCCTCTTTTCTACCAGTTGCACATATGTAGGAAAGCACATATAAGTCAATTCATTTATATGAATGAATCTGAGATTCTTTCATATTTAACATTTCCCATCCAAATCACCTGGTAAAACTAGGAGAAAATGCTCCAGCTTTACTATTTTCGCAGTCACTTGGGAAAAAGTTATAGAACTCTTGTCAATTTAATCTGATTAAAGAAAAAAAACCTATTTTATTGGTTTAATACATTTGTAAAACAAACAAATACATTTGTAAAAACAAACATATCTCAACATTTCAATGGTGAACTGTAGAAAAAAAAAGGCAACCTTTCACTGGTTCACTAATGAACTTTAAACAAGCAAACAAAATGGTCCAGAATTTTATAGTGAGAAAATTCCTTCAGAAAAGCCAGGAAGTTAGTGGGTGTTCTTAGGCTGGAGCAAGCAGGATAGCCTTGCCAATTTTAAGATGAGCCTTGCCAACTTTAAAATGTGTAGACTTCAACTCCCAGAATTCCCCAGCTAGTATGTTTTAGTTGTAATATGAAACATTGGAGTGGTCTGTGTGCCTATTGCTCTTGAGTAAATCCCTGATTGACTTCTCCCTTTAAGATTACAAATGCAACTGAAAAACAAAAGAATGGGGAACTTTGAACAAAGAAACAGGAAGTGAGGAGACAGAACTGTGAGGTATTGGAGAGACAAAGAAGTTCTTGTAATAATAGGAAATTACCTTGAAAAACTTTTCTCTTTAAGTTGTGAGTTGCTTTGTTTAATTACCAAAACAGATTCACTTGGAACATTCCCCATAGGGAAGTATGACTTGGCTCTTATTACTGGTAAATAATGAGTTTTGCATAAAATCAGGAATTTGCTGTGGCATCTGATGATTCAGAGGCTGTAATTGGGAAGTCAGACATATGAATGTAAACCCAGTACTAAAATGCTGGAACTGGATTAAAAATGTAACTTTCAAGAGGAAGAAAAATTCTTCACTGGATTATAGCAAAAGTAATAAAGTGTCAAAGTATAATGCAAGAAATAATGCTAAATTCATAACTCTGAGTTTCAAGTCTTATTCTTTAATACAAACAGAATAAGAACTTCAGGTTAAGTTCTTACTACTATTCATAATAATGATATAATTAATAATATTATATCTGATTAATAATTAATAAATCTGATACAAGTTCTTGAAACTCATTTATAATTTATACAGAAAGTATGATAGCTATAACAAAAGAAATGCCATTACCTCATTTGAGAAAGAGAAGTAAGATAGCAATAGCACTTAGACTTATATATTACTTCATAGTGCCTTACAACCCTCTATAAGCAGTTTACAGAGTCAGTATATCGCCTTCAACAATCTGGGTCCTCACTTAACTGACCTCTGAAAGATGAAAGGCTGAGTCAACCTTGAACCACTCGGAATCAAACAGCTGGCAGTCAGCAGAATTAGCCTGCAATACTGCATTCTAACCACTGCGCCACCAGGGCTCTTCAGATGGGTTAGGTTATGTCGCTAAGTCCTCTGTACCAAATGAATCAGGTCCTAGTACAGGAAAAGGTAGTGGGTCGCAA